ATTTTGTTTGCAAGAAATCGTTTGCAAGAAATTTTTTGTAGGGGAGTCCTGTTGCAACCACCACTATAATCATGAGGTATCATGAAGTTACTCTACTCTGGTTTTGATGTTTTCTATTTAATAATGTAGTTCTGTGAGCAGTAAAGGCAATGAAGTCAGATTTCCTTTGACAAGTGTTTTTTGACTGGGTTCTCTCCTGTCTAGTGGGAGGTGGCTAAGTGTAAAGCATTGTACAGATTGAACATGCTTAGCAAACACTTGTTTTAGAATCACTGTTGTCTAGTGAGGTTCAACCTTTCTGGCACATGATTGTGATTGTGCAAACCTCATTTTCTGTGGAAATCAGGCTAAAAGTCATGTTTGGAGGTTGTCTTGATCAATAAGAAACAAAAGATTAAAAAGGTGTTGAGAGTCGGAATGGAAAGGTGAAACTGGCTTCCTGTATTTTACAGGATGCAGAGTGTAATCAGAGGGTCTCTTCCCTATTTCAGGGGAATAGGGTGTATAAGTTCTCATAAAGTGTGCTTTTACACTGTAACTTATTTAATTTTCCTTCACAATGGTTCCATTTATAAGAGAAGAGGTGATTTTTCAAGTGATCTTTGTGCAAAGTTCATGAGACAAAGAGTTTGACTTCCAGGTCACTTCTTTCCAGCAGTAGAATCACTAATAAAAATTCCATCATCAGTATGTATTTGATAGTTGAATTGCTGATACATGGTGCAGAATGTAGTCTGCCTCATTTTCTCCTGAAATGGTGCTACCCAGACTTTCAGAGAACAAACACACTAAATACACTGGCACAGGAAAAGTTCTGGCTGGTATGGATTCAGGAGGTGTGAATTTTCATTCACAGCTATGTTAGACCATCACTTTCTCATCTGTATGTTAAGGATAGTTATAGTTCCCAGTTTTTCAGAATGTTTTGAAAACCACTGAATAAAAGTGCTGTGTAAGAGCTAAGTGTTTATTTTATGTGCTACATAATCTTTTGTTCTAAGTAATAAAAATAATTTTTCCCCCAGGGTAGTGCTGCAAATCCCCAGGGCATAAAATGAGGACAGTTCCCATTCACTGTTTCTTAAGTGCTTGGACATTCTTTAAAATTAAGTGCTACTTAAAACAAGAAGTCTAGAAAACTTTTTTTTTTTTTTAATTGTTTAGAGAAAAGTTTGGACAGACACTGCAGAAACAGAGCTAAAACTATGTATATATATGTATATGTCTTATATTTAAACAAAGCATGCAGTCAGCTGGTGAAAACTGCTCTCTGAGCTCCGGTTTTCATTTAATTGGGAGCATAAACATATGAAAGTCAAGGCTAGTAATTTGATTTCGAAAGAAAGCAACTTAAGACGAGCATCAGTCAGAGCTAACAGGAGCCATATGCTAGATGTTTTATGTAAGTGATGTGGTCTTCAAAAAAAAAATAGGAAAAGCTTATTTACTGTTTTTTAAGCAGATCTTTCCTAAAGGAGTTCTAGTAAACCTTCTGTTCAACAGGCTAAACAGTATTTATGTGCGTAATTGATGTTAATATATTGTATTATCTCATAGATGCAAGATATTTGCTATTATTGTGCATCAAAGAAGTTTGTTCACTTAACTGTAACCACAGAGTACATGTAATTTCCCAGAGCCACAGGATAGTCAAGATAAAATCTGGCAAATTAGAGCCTCCCTGAGTGAGGGGATTTTGGCTTTCTATGATTAGGTCTGCTCAAAATGTGTGCTAGCCTTTTTAAACAAGAGCTAGTAACTATCTCCAGACAGCTGGAACAATAAGCAATGGAGATCATTCTGTCACAATGGAGGTGAAAACAGAGTGCCCTTGTCATAATGAAGAAGGTTGAAAAGCACTCAGTGGAAAAGATTATGGCTTAACTGTTGATAGTCCCTTACAAAACAGAAAGAAAGGTCCTCACATAAACCAATATTTGTTGAACATTTGTATTGCATTTAAAGCCATTTAAATTATGATTTTATGGACAATTATAGTAATCTTTATTGTTAATTAAATGGTTGTTAAGCTCCCAAATATTTGCAAGCAGGATGTGTGTTACCCTGACATATGAACTACAGTGTGCTTTGCTAGAGGTTGTGTTAACATTAAGGAACCAATACTGAATGTTTTGTATTGATGAGTAATGTAAAGTATAGTTCGTATTTCAGTGAAAACTCCTGGCTTGTTCCTGGTGACAAGAGTCCAGCTGGCAGGGGGTCAAATCTGCAGACTGAATGTTTTCTGCACACTGACCTACAAAGCAATTTGATGCTGAAGGCCTGCTTTGAAAGCGAGGACTGTGCAAAGTTACTAAACTAAAATCCAGTCAAACTTTATTATTTTTTTTAACTTGTACTTAGCCAATTTTACATTAACAAGTCCTAACTGGAAGTGATCCCAGAGGTGGATCTCTGCAGGCTCTTGGCAGTCAGGGGAGAAGGATGGCTGTTCCTGGGAGTAAGCAGAGCAACTGTTCTATGAGTTCTTGTCCAAGCATCCCTCTGGGAGCAGGTGCAAGGCTGCAGAACAAAGCTTCATGTATAAAACTCCTTGAGTCCCTTTCCCACTTCAGGAGGCTGATTATGGTATTAAGGCCCATTTCTTATATCCTAAGTATTGTTCTGGTTAGCTATGAATGAATCGTTCCCATTCAAGGGAAAGAAAGAGGTCTTCCTCACACTCTCCCATCCTGGCACTTGTGTAGGTGGCAGTGTGAGTGCATGGCTGGGAGCAGGCACAGGGATACTCCTACCAGGGTGCCTGAGTTTAACAAATTGCTGAGTCTGTGATGATCCAGATAAAACAATTGAGTAAGTTGCTGCCCTTCACCTGGATGCCCTTAAAGGTACTCTATTCCAGGCAAAACCGGGACACCAGAGAGCCCATTGAGTGCCAAGTGAACCCAATAAGATTAAACCTTAACTGAGGCCAATATATGCCAATCTGTTTGACATTGCACTGAACTCAATTTAGTAGTGCTCACAAGAATACCCGACACATAATTTCTTAAATTGCTTAGCTAAATCTGCATAATTCTTATCATAATTCTGATGCTTCTTAGACATGAAACTAATCATTAAAGAAACTGATCCCCTACACAAAGTGAATGATGACTGGTGATCAGAATTGGTAAACTTATGTGTCTGGATGATTACAAAGATTTGGCTATGAAGGAGTTTAAGCTGACAGCAGATATAATTATTAGTAAATAGGAATATAATAGCTGTGATGTTCTTTTCCATTATCAAATGATGAAGGAACGAATGGTGTTTGCTCCCAAGTCGTGTGGAAGCGTATCTCTCATGTCTCCCTGTAAGCTACGTGTGATCTTCTTTGCTGTTGTCTGTAAGGCATGTGGCAAGAACTTTTAGCTGTATATGAATAAAAAATGTCCAGAGAAGGTTATATTTTAAGGTCATAATTCTGTGGTCTGATAAGAATGAGGATCTTGGACTGCACTATGTTGAAGCTTGAAGGTGGAAGAATGCTGCTGTGTTTGGAATGCAGCATTGGTCTGGTCAGACCTGATTAAGCAGAAGCAATCAGGAGACAGCATAGCACAAATGTCTATTCTTAAATCTTTGTTTTGTCTTGAGTGGTGTGTTTCACTGTTGTACAACAGATTGTGCAGCTGGTGATTGAAAAATATTGCCCACAAGTCTCACTGAGACAGTTATGCAATTTGCTACTCCCACCAATTTTTTTTTCCCCTCAAAGCGCTGAGTATAATGCAAGATTAAATGCACTTTGATAATCAGTCTTAGAAGCTGTTCCTCTTGTTTAGTAGACACAATAGGAATATAGAATTAATAGGGCAAATATTGGATTCTTTGAATTGTGGGTGAAAGTTTCAACTTGAATTAATTTCCAGTAATTTGATTCATGATTTGATCACAAGGTGTTGCTCTGTGGCAGCAGAAATAGGATGATTTTTCTGAAATTTCAAAGCTATTTAGGTAAAACTTAATCCCTGACTATTGACTGACCTGTGGCCAGAATAGGATTTGTAGTCAAGCACCCCTTGTTTTATCTGTTACTCTTTAGTAATCCTTTTCCACTGGCAAGGAAAATGTTTTAGGCTGCTGCTTTCCTCTTTGACATCATTGGGGAACTGCACTGGGGAACTGTTACCACTTCAAGAGGAGGTACAGAGCAGAATCAGAAGGTATTTTTGTACTTGGATAAAGTATGTTAAAATGCACTTGTGTATGTGTTTTTGTGTAGTCATGCTAGTATTATCAAATTGTAATTTCTCCTATAACGTTTTTTAAGATCTTTCATTTTTTTTAAAGTATAGGTTAATGAATTCTTTGTAAAGACAACATGAGAAAAGGTACAACGAAGTTAATTTTCGGGCCATCCTGGAACCTTTGAAACTTCTCTTCTTAAAAATATGTAGTTCGTATGAAGGCATTTGACACATAGATCCAGGAGAGGTTTATTCAGAGGATCAGTCTTAAGGTGTTTTGATGTTTTTGGGACTCTAAAAGAGTGTTTTGTGCTTTTTCAGCTGAATGAAAATGTTATTCATTAACTGAGCAACATTTTTTTCTGGTCTTTGTTACTATTAATAAAAAAATATCGTATCAAGTGGAAATGATAGGTGATCCATACCACTATCCTTTGAAGGGGAGTGAAATCTCCCCTTTTATGTCCAGAGAAATACATGCAGCTATTTTGTTTGTGCAGTTACCTAGTAGGATGTTAAGCATGAGGTTTTGCAACCATGAGTACTAATTTGTTGGCATTTTTCTGAATCTGTCTATTGCACCCTTTGAGAAACTATGTCTGCATAGCATATATCTCCCATTTTCCAAAGTTCACCATGTCTGAGTTTTGAAATAAACTGTTGGATGGTTCTCTGTTGCAAGGGTTTTATCTCCAGCCCAGTACTAGAGAGCTCTGAGAATTCTTGCTAGTTGTATCTCTACATCCTTGTTCTATGAGCAGAGTTTTAAACAAAACGCTTCATTGCACATCTGTTGTCTTTTTACAGGTGATGTATCACCCATCAGCATGTCTCCCATCACTCAGTCACAGTTTATTCCACTTGGGGAAATCCTTTGCCTGGCCATCTCAGCAATGAACTCTGCCCGAAAACAAGTCACACAAGAAGCACTAATGGAGCACCTAACCACCTGCTTCCCAGGTAACCAGTCATTAATAAATCATCGGTTAGATGAGTGCATGTCTGTAAAAGGGCAGTTAAACAATCCTCAGTCCCTTCTGGATGGGGATATTGACTAATCCTGACATGCTAAGCAAAAGTAAAAGGACGCCTTAGGGTACTAATCTTAGAACCTTTTCTTTATTCTTAAACATATGGAGAATTGAGTTCTCTGTGATAAGGCCATTCTTGTGAGATGCATTTTGCAGGGTTAATTCCTGACTTTATGTAAATAATAAAAATTACTTGAGGTACTAAACAACAAGCTGTTGGCTTGTTTCTTTTTCAGATAGTATCAGAATAAGCTTGTTGGTGATTTTTCTCACATTTTTCTCTATCATAGTCAAAGGAGTTTAGCACTTCTTTAGTAGCTATGGGAAAAAAAGCATGATGTGTCATAGCCAGAGCAGACTTATTTCACCTTGTGGCTTTCAAGCCAGTTGTAGCTAACTCATAAGAGCTCTGTTGACATCATTCAACGAGTTCTTTGTCCAGTCTCCATAGAGATAACCTCATTAAGGTCTCATTAGAGAATTCTCTCTTAAGGAGCAAAATTCCCACATGCTCCATGTCTTCTTCCACCTGGAATAGGCTCTCAATGTGTGGTGTGATGCAAGTTGTAGAGTCCAGTGACAATGATGTGCCTGCTTCAGGCAGAGGTTATATTTAGACTGAAAGGACGATGTCAGCCTGCTTTCCAGGGATTTTCAGATCCTTCTTGGACACAGTTCTGGCTTTTGCTTCTGCACTGCCCTTGCTTGAAAAATAATAAAACAAAAGATTTAAAGATAACTTGACAACTCTCTTCATAACTAAACTAAAAAGTCTGGAGAGCCATAGGTACACTTGCTGTGTTGATAAATGCTGGTGAACTGTTCAGAAGATATTCTTGGAAGCACTTGATAATACTTATGAAATGGTAAATGGAAATTATCTCGGGTTAAAGATACTGTAACATCAAAAAGAGGAATCCTATGACAAGAATGTACTCTTGAATATGCTGCTTCACTACTGGCCCTCTGTGTCTGGAGCTGGTGAATCGTGCAAAATGCATCTTACAGAGACATTTTAATTGTGGTGCAAAAGCATTGGGCAGAGGTTTACTGCTCAAGAGAGCACAGCTTCTTCATTTGTGTTTTGTATGATTCTGGGCAAGACGTTTAACTATTCTGTGCCTGCATTTACAATTCTCTAAAGTAGTTGAGAAACTTCTTCACTGTACCTATTTTACAGTTGCAAAAAGCAGCTAATGCAAAATGCTTCAGCAGGAAAACTACTGATGCATCTGTCTCATCTAGGCAGCCTAACCATAGCCATGATCTGCTGTCTGGAATTTTTTTCCTTACATTTCAGAGCAAGAGTTACTTAAAGCCTTGAAGGTTACATGGCTTTTGCTATAACTGGTAGTAAGTTCTGAGATTTTAAAATGTAATTCTGGATTGAGAGTTGTGTTTGGAATAAACAGTTTTATCTGACATTTAATAATCGCACAGTGGAAAAAAATACTGTAAGCATATTTTGTAAATACTGATTTTCTCTCCCAGTTTGTAGTTTTGTTTATCAGTAGGTTTTTTTCCAGTATACTTGGCTGATTTTGAAAATACTGGTAAAAGTTGAAAGGTAAGGGATAGAATACAAAGAAGTCAAAATTCGCAATTGTAATTCCTTTTAAATTTTGATGATTTTTTTTACCAAGTCATCTTTTCTGTATAGCTGTGTACTAGAAGAATTCCATAGATTCCAAGTATTCTTTCAGTGATTCTATCAATATTTTTATATAAATATTATTGCATGGTGGAAATTATACTCTATTGGTGGCATCCCTTGAGTTTCCTGGGAACATGATTATCAGTAGACTTGATGTGTTGTGCTATTCTTGTTAGACAGAACCAAACATGAAAAATAATTCAGCAGGCTGGATTATTTTCTAGACACTGCTCAGAAGAAGCCTGAGGCAAGTTAGCACATGGTTTCTTGCTGCCTTTTTTTTTTTTCCACTAGCCATTGACATGTGAATTTCTCAAGTCTGAGATAAAAAAAGAGAGCCTCACTTCCCAAAATGTAAAGAAAGTTATTTGAAGAAAAAAGAAATCCACCAAATTGTTGTCCAGTTTTTTCCCTTCTCTAGAGAAATGCTTTTCTCTACCAGCCATGACATGTTTAGCATAGCAAGCATACATGTTCTCTTAGCATATGAGGATTATCTATAGAATTTATTCTTTCCAGTAAAGAGAACTTCTTATGCTAAGTGATATTTTTCACTTGTCTGCTCAAACTCTAATAAATCAGCTGTAGCTTTTTGAGCCCTTGTATTCTCTGTGGCTGTTTTAAAATATCTGATGTCATCTCATATTCTGATAATTTATTTTTCCTAGTTAGGTGCTGATGCTCTGAGGGAGAGGAGAGCATTACCACTGTAGATATATCTGTTATTGTCACATAACATCTCTGTATCTTTTCATGTAGCAGCACTTGTCTGCCTGTGTTGTTTGTGTTTTAATGAACAGATGCTTCACTGCGTTTCATGGTGTGGATAAATTTCCTAAGACCCCAGATGCTATTCTCAAAACTGCCTAAGAATAATAAACCTTTTTCCTCAGTGCAGGGTCTTACAGTTGCAGTCTAGCCCTCTAGTTTGCTGAGCCATTGTGCAGGCATAAATCTGGGCCATGGCTCTATCTGAAATAAGGTATGCTAATTATTTATAACATCACATAGCAACCACTCCACATCCTTAACTAGTATTTCATGAGCCAATCAGAGTATTTCTTTTATCCCTTGTTAAGCCTTAGCATCAGCTCAGGAGAAAATCATTTTAGCAGATTTAACACCATTTAAATACTACTTGAGATGTATTTTTCATGAATTTATTTTATTCAAAAAGTTTGTAATGATAATGCACATCTTATTTGTGGTTTCTGTTATTTGTCAGGTTTTTAAAAAAGCAAGAGGGCTGCTCCTGCACCTGCTCCCATTATTCTCACTTAGAATTAAACAATGAGATGTTTGCACAGCCTTATTTTGTAATTTATTGACCATGGTTTAAATCCCATACATTAAATGTAAATCTTTGAAATCCAGTATAAGGAGCTAAGAATGTAACCTCTGTTCTGTGTTTGGCAACCAGACCCTCTTATCTGTATGAACGTGGATGAAGAAAACATCAAGCCTTAGTCTGTGCTACCTTTAATAAGGATATTTTTCTTTCTTCTCCCAAATTTTGTCTACAATATATTGCCCATATTTAAATAATTTTAAGAGGTTCAAAATTTCAAAGTAGAAAATACATGTGTATTGGACTGGGTAGGTTGCTTTTGAAGCAAACAGTTTTCTGAAAGCTGGCAAATTCCTCTGACATTCACCTTTATAATTGTTCACTCTCTAAATATGTGAAGTATATGTGTAGCACTTAAAAGAAGTGTCTTACATTAACTGAGTTCACTCTAGGTCAGTGTTCTTTGTGAGCAGCAAACAAGACATAATCTTCTGTCTGGAAGCTCAGTGGATGGCATAGTAGACTCTCTTGAGATACGGAAAATGTACATGTCTGATGATTCAGTGTCCAGACAGTTTCTGCTTTTGAATTATTAAACCACTACATAATCTTAAATAACACCACTGCTGTCATGCAATATTTTATGTGCTAGAGTCTCTAAGCTACTGGGGTTTTTTCCTTTGTTTCTATTAATGGAGGAAGGGAGACCATAAGGAGACTTTTGAATGCAGGGGGGTAGGTTGTGTATAGACATGATGTGGGCAGATTGCTGTAAAGAGAAAAGTCTTGAGAAAGTCAAGAAATCTGTATTTAAAATAGGAACAAGGGGAGCCAGAGTTACGTCATTGCTCCTGTCTGCCATGCGGGAAAGCATAAGTTGAGTTTGGGTCTGTTTCTGCTTTTGTAAGTACCTGACAGAGCTCAGAGCAAAACCCATAACTACCCTTAGCTGGCAATGCTGAGCTTCAAAGATCTGCCATCATCATTGCTGGCTTAGTGAACCACAGAGATGTACTGTGTCCTAGGAGTAATAAAAGTGATAAACTCCAGAGAGAAGGCTGACATGATTGAGTTTACACTGTTGTTGACTGTCCAGGCACAATAATTTTTTTTTTCCTGGTGTTTATCTGCACATTCTCCATTCACAGGAGTTAGTCAGTTAGTGTAACTACTGTGCATCCAGTGTTTAGGGAACCACTTACCCAATATATTGTAGCCATTATGGTTTACTGGGTGAAAAATACATATTATGTTATTATTTTAATAGTATTATATTATTATTTTTGCCTAAATTAGTGTAAAACCTCAGAACATCCATTTCAGTCTCTTTCCCTAACTTTTCTGTAAGCTCCCAGGAGAAATGTTTTCATTGCTTTTATTTTTGTTCTGATGTTTTTGAAACATCATGTTAAGAAAAGTCTTATAAGTAAGATAGGGATGAAGAACCAAGTTCTCACAAAGGTTAGTACGTGTTTGTAAGCTCCTGGAAACATGCAATGGATCGGGCAGATTGTTTATGTAGAGGAAGGAAGAGTAAGTGCAGAGTAAGTGCACCTCAACTGGGCCAGGGTTGGACCCTGCAGTGCATTTTCAGCACAGAATGGAGAAACAAATGAGCTTGAGTTTTGGGGTCATCCACTTCCTGTCATCATGCAAGGCATAATGGAAAAGGGGTGGTGTTACCCAAGCAGACATAGCAGCTCCACTGCAGGAAAGAAGAGATTAGAACCGCTGGTTGTTACGGGAATCGAAATCACTCTGTGTTCCTGTGTGTTACCAAAAGCTCATACAGATGACAACCCGCTCTCAGGTTGCCACTGCCTCACAATCCAGAGGAAGCTCACCATATTGTTTACTTCAGTTCAGAGAGATTTGGAATTTTGGGCTAGGGAGGGGTAGTCCTTTTCTTCCCCAGCTCTCTGGATTTCAGCTTTTCCCACCTATTGCTATTTCTGGTATGTTAGCTCATCCAGGAGTTCTGGGGGTCTTCGTTACTCCCTCTAGGATTATTACATAAAGTGTGGACACCTGCATAAAAAGGAGACAAAAACACTCCTGATTCTTCATATTTTTTTCCAATTTTCAGTCTCATTTATGCTCTCAAGTTATATCCTATCTTCACTGTTCTTCCTTCCTGTGTTTGGATCGGCCCAAACCTTTCAGCTCTATGGACTGTGCATGAAATATGTTTACTGCCCCCACGTACTTCTCCCTGATGCCTTCTGTGCTGTAACTGCTTTCACTCATGGCCATGTTATTTCTAACACTTTGCCGTTTCCCTTGTAAGATTTTATTTACAGATATGAACAGTATGGTCATGTCAGTAAGTTCAAACAACGTTCCATAAGGAATATTTACTATGTTGCCTGCAACCCAGTTGCAAGAAAGAGGATGAGTTAAGGAATTAGTACAGCTTCTCTTTTTCTTGTTGCTAATCTTTTGGTGGAGGTGTTGCTGTCATCCTCATGTTTGCTTACCCAAGGAGATCAGTGAGCTAGCAGGCTCCAACATGTTGGAGAAGAGTTGGGGACTAGACTCTATGTGCTTGCTACTGGAGATACCGTGTTTGTGACAGGTACCCATGGTTGAAATTTTTCCATCTAAGTTGGCTTGGATACGAGTACGGGTGCTGACCAAATGACTTCCTGAGTTCCCTTCCAACCTAAGTTGCTCTCTGATGCCTTTTTTTTCCCCCTAGATTACTTTTGTTTAAAAGAAAAGCAGAGTATATAATATTAGCTATTTTAGTTTAAAATAGACTGCACAAACTTTTGAAAAACATTTCTCTAGTTCTAAAAATATAAGCAAGACCAATACTCAACATTAAAATGCATTTTAGTTCAACAAAATATATTGATTGAAGATAGCTTTTTCCACTGAAAACTTGGAAGTATTTTTATTTTTTATTCAGCATAAACAGATTTTTTTAAATTAGCCTGTGAACTAAAGTTCTTGTTTCCTTAACTCTAGATGGAACTTACTTCTATACACAACATGCTAACTCAGTATTTTATCTGATTAAAGTATTGAAGACTTGGTCCTGCACTCTGAACCCAGCAGGCCTACTGGTAGTGGGAAGGACCAGGCTCACAGTGCCGAGTCTACCATATGGCGTTGGTGCAGGCTTGTTGTATTTGTCCCTTTCTCAGTATGCAAGACGTGCTTAGGTAGTGTCCCTTGCATCTCACACGAAAGGCAAGGAACTCTGAGAAGCAAATAGCTAAATCTGTAACTTCCAGCATAATGGAAAAGTGTGCTTGGGTAAGATGAACTGAATCATTCAGGATGTGTCTTTTTTTGGAGAAGCCGATATAGTTCAAACATGGTTTAATGGGAGAGTAAATCAGTTCAATCAAGTTTGTGATGAAAGGGCAGTTTGGGGAATGCCTTTTTTTTCTTTATAGTATTCTTCTGTGGAAAAACAACTTAGGCATCCAAAGCAACAAATAACCACTGCTTTATATGTGACAAGGCATTTTAAGAATAGTTCTGGTGAATTGGGATATAAATATTAGTTGGAAGAAGAATAAAAGTGAAACGTTTCCCCTGACACTCTTTTATTTTCAGTGATTCCATCTTATACCTTACGGTCACCTGCACAGTGGAACTGACTAGAAATTCTTGAGTTCTCTCCTTTTTTTTTTTTTTTTTTTTTTTTTTAGCATTTTATTAATGGCCTCCTTTCTATTTAATTAATAATTGATATGTTGGAAGGGTAGGAGATGAGTGGAGAAACAGAGAAAAGAATGCCTAACAGAATGTTTTACTGGAGTTGTTTGCTCAGCATATTCCAGCTTGTACGTTGGGAAAAACAGCTTTTTGTTGGGGAGGGGGGAACCAGAGAATTCTGCGGTTTTATGCAGTCCCTGATATGTCTTTACTGTCATTTCTAGGAGTTCCAACACCCAGTCCAGAAATCCTTCGACATACTTTGAATATGCTTGTACGGGAGAGGAAAATATACCCAACTCCGGATGGTTATTTCATTGTAACCCCGCAGACTTACTTTATAACACCATCTCTCATAAGAACTAACAGTAAATGGTACCATTTGGATGAGAGGATACCTGACAGGTCTCAATGTACCTCTCCCCAACAAGGAACTATAACTCCCTCCACCTCGGGATGCGTCAGGGACCGAACGCTACCCAAAAACCACTGCGACTCCTGCCATTGTTGCAGAGAAGACATGCACAGCATGCATGCATCTACCTTACAGAGGAAATCAGCAAAAGACTGTAAAGACTCGTACTGTCCTCCCTCATTATGTCAGGTCCCACCTACTGAGAAAAGTAAAAGTACTGTCAATTTTTCATATAAAGCAGAGACGCTCACAAAGCCTAAGGATGTAGAAAAGCAGTCTAAGAAATTTGGACTCAAATTATTCCGATTAAGTTTTAAGAAGGACAAGACAAAACAGTTGGCAAATTTCTCTGCCCAGTTTCCTCCAGAGGAGTGGCCACTAAGGGACGAGGACACCCCTACCACTATACCTAGAGAGGTAGAAATGGAGATTATCAGGCGCATTAACCCAGACTTGACTGTGGAAAATGTCATGAGACACACTGCACTAATGAAGAAACTTGAAGAAGAAAAAGCTCAACGAAGCAAAGCAGGATCTTCAGCTCACCACAGCGGACGAAGTAAAAAGAGCAGGAATCACAGAAAGTCTCATGGGAAATCGAGGTCGCACAGCAAGACCCGGGTATCCAAAGGAGACCCATCAGATGGCTCTCATTTGGATATACCTGCTGAAAGGGAGTATGAGTTCTATGATCCCTTGACTAGATCCCCACGGGAAGGCTGTTTTATAATAGAACACAAGGGAGATAATTATATAATGCACAGCAATCCTAACATGATTGAATCTCACTTTCCCATGACACCAGAGTGGGATGTGTCTGGTGAGCTGGCCAAAAGAAGAACTGAAATGCCTTTCCCTGAACCTTCCAGGGGAAGCTCTCACTCCAAGGTCCATCGGAGCCACAGCCATACACAGGATAGAAGATCGAGGAATGAGCGGTCCAGTAAGGCTAAAGAAAGGTCTAGATCCATGGATAACTCCAAGGGACCTCTGGGCTCAGCAACTTTAGGAACACCTGAAGATCTAGGTGAAGGCTGTAGCCCAGATGACCAAACAACTAGCCAAACTTACATTGACGATAGTACCTTAAGGCCGTCTCAGTCGCTCAGTCATCAAAGGGCTCTGATTTCATCTGCAAGCTACAAAGAGACTTGCATCCCTGAAAAAGCTAGTGGCGGTGTAGAAACCCCCAGTTCTTGTAGCTTATTGGAACAAAGCAAGCTTACAGAGAATTTACCATCATATAGTGAGCTCAACTCCTGCACAACAAAATCTGCAGTCGATGACTATTTTCAGTGCAACACATCCAGTGAGACTGTGCTGACTGCTCCATCACCACTGGGAAAGAATAAAGAGGATCATGATACGCTCACAGGGACAGATGGGCTCAAAAAAATGACTCCCACAGAAAGACAGGCTCAACATATTGCAAGGGAGCCTGGGGTGCACAAGGAGGAGTCCCCAAAGGGCCCAAGCAGTGGTTCAGCGGTTGCCGGACAAACTCCAGAGGTGATTGCAAATGGGCGGCTGGTTCAACACCATAGTGCTGAATCAAGTAGCCTTGATAAAAGGAAAGAAATATTTAGCAAGGATACACTCTTTAAACCTCTGCACAACACTCTTTCTGTGAATAGTTATCATAAGTCTAACACACCTCTGCTAAAGCCCCATCAAAAGACCCCCTCTGACACATTGCCAGTCAGATGTGAGAAACTTGAACAAGCGATAGTAACCTCAGTCACACAAGTCATGCCCGTTTCTCAGAGACAGCAAGAGACAGCCGGGAACCAGGAGGCCTCCTTTGACTACTACAACGTATCTGATGATGATGACTCAGAGGAAGGAACCAACAAAAATGCTGAGGAAGAAAAGAACAGGGATGATGTTGGTACAATGCAGTGGCTCCTAGAGAGAGAAAAGGAGAGAGATCTGCAGCGGAAGTTTGAGAAGAATCTTACTCTTCTCACCCCGAAGGAAACAGAAAATAGCAACAACCAGAGAGCCACCCACTCAGCCCGCCTGGACAGCATGGACAGCAGCAGCATTACTGTGGACAGCGGGTTCAACTCTCCACGGTAGGACTGTCACATTCATTGCAGCTTTACAGACTAGGAAGTTCCATTTATAGTTATATGTGTGTGATATTGGTGACAGAATGTAGGGCTGTATTAAACAATTTCACACATTTTCAGACAGTGTTTTCTCTGGAATCTTCTATTCAGATGTGTGGGTTTCCCATCATACCGTAAGAAGGCAATGACCATTTGCGGCATTGACTCTGTATTAGTTCATTCTTCTGTTTGCTGAAAACCTCCCTGTATCTTTTTTTTTTCTGTATTAAACTTGGTTTTGCATTTAGAATAGAAGGGATGAGCTCGTGTTACTGACCCCTTCCCTTTCCCTCTAAGATACTATCAATGAGACTAATGGGAAGACTAGGCATGACTAGGTGGCATAATCTTTGGCTCAGACAAAAACGGGAAATTATATTGTTTTGTGTTTGGTCTTTTTTGTTTGCTTTCTTCACAAATGTTGGAAGTATATCTAGTTACCATCCAAACTGGTGAGACTGGAACAGCCACTCCCCCTACAATGCTTAAAGTGCTCAGGATATTTGAACTTCAGAGGTGATTCGACGCCGCGTCAGCTGAGAGAGAGGTGCCTTGCCTAAGATACTTGGGAAAAGAGTCCAGGTGTTTGCATGTGGTGGTGCTGGTTAGTAATTTCCATTCCAGAGATTTCAGACATCATGGAAGTCTCAGTGTGCTAGAAGTCTTACAGGTGTAGGGAGGAGAGAGTTGCTGGTATGTTCCCTGCCCTGGAGATTTCACAAGCTCATTTCCAGGTTTAGAATCCTTTACTGGAGCCTTTTTCCTTGTCTCTCTGACCTTTGGCAGTGCTAGCTCCTTGATGGAATGGAGCTTGACCAGTTTTGTTTGGCCTGGATAGCAACCCATCAGAGTTCAGAAGAATGACTCTAAGAACACAGAAATAATTTACCATAGTAGTTTTCTTATAGTGTGTTACTTAAGCTTAAATTATTTATTGCCTGTGTTTAACAATAAAACCTTCAAGAGTGGGTTTGTATTAGGTGAAAAAAGGTTGGGTTTTTTTGCTTTGTTTTTTTTTTGTTTTGGTTTTTGCCTTTTTTTTTTTTTCCTCTGTAAATGGTGTTCTTATTCCACAGAAATATGTGGTTTTTTACATCTATAGCAAAGGCTTCCAGAAAGGCATGTGAAAAATTTTGTGTTTCTATGCAGGACTAAATTTCATTTTCAGTTGAAGTCCTGTCATTGTGAAATAAATTCCTTTGGATTTGATGGCTACTCCCATTTGATGTCAATGACAAGGCAACAATTAGTGAGCCTCATGCAGCATGCAGTGATTATCAAACTAGAGCAGGCTTTTAGCAAATGTATAATTTTTCTGAGTAAAATAATGAAAAATAATTTGAGTAAATTGTACCACTTACACTGAGTTCACCCTAAAAAAGAAACTTGAGAAGGTTTTGAATTTGTTTGTGTTATTGATTGTTCTGCAGATGCTTCTCATCTTTCTCATGTACAACTGTTGTATGAAGCTGTTTGCACTGTTCTTTTTTAAATGTAATCTCTTCCTTTAGTTGAAGTGCTATACTTGCAGCTGGTTTTTGTGGGGGAGTATGTCATGGTGTTTGCTTCTTGCTCAGCCTGCCTTACTCCACAGAGTATGAGTCACCTCCAGGATAGGATATCAACTGAATTAAAAATCAGTTCTTGGACTACTTTTGTATGCTAGCTGAATATCAAACTTGTGTTTCTGGTTAATGCAAAGGTAGACATTTTCTTCCCTAATTATTTACACAAAAGCTAAAATTTCTGTTTAACATAAACAAGAGAACAGAACATGTGAGCATATAGTCTGGATATTTCAAAGGCTTTTTCATGAGCTTTACATCAAAATTATTAAATTTGATGATTTTGCTGAGTTTTGGCCACTCCTTGGTATAAGTCTATAAAAATAAATTGAGCTGAGGGTGAATTCAGCCCTTTGGCTATAATTACCATGCTGTTATTACTTTCCTACCTTAGAACAAAAAATGTACTCCACGACCCTTTTCCAGGAAATACAAAATAGCCATCCAGCATCCAGCTGCTAAAATCCAACTAGATCTGACAGCATCCATTAGCAGATACCTAGGGAAGAGTATAAGAACAGGACATGCATGTAAGTGATGTTCCTCAGGTATATTCTTTAAGCGTTCACTGATGATGTAACTTTCGACTTCCTGCCTCCACTGATGATTTGACTCTCTACTTCCTGAGGTGAGGTGGTATCTTTTCATTCAAACTGAAGTGTGCAACATTGCTAGGGAATCAAAATGACCAATTCCAGACTATGAAAGAAGGATATGTTTAAAGTGTGACAACTTGAAAAAAGGACAGTAAAACAAAAAAACAAACCAAACAAAAAAAACCCCAAACAAACAAAAGCAAAGAAACCAACCAGATGTAGTTACAGAGATTTGCAATGGTTGTTTGACTTCCAAAGTATTTTGTTTCAAAGTTTGTGAACATACCAATCACCATTGGGAAGAAATCCTCACAATATTTTGTGTATTGCTTTTATGCAAGTTTATATAGTAAATGTTAGCTGTCAAGATTAATTTTATTCCTTTATTCTAAGAGCTTATATAATACTGTTGCTCCTTTGTCATCTAAAGAAAGAGGTGGTCATAATTTTGACATTACTTTGCATGCAAAATTCTTGCTGCAGTCTTTGTGTGTACATGTTGTAATGGTCAGTTTGTAATACCAGAATTGAAAATGATCTGGAATTAGTGGTCCCATAAGGAATGATACAGTACTGAATCATCTCTGAAAACCAAGGTTTGCATCTATTTTCATTAAAAAGCAGAGGGAGAAGAATCAAAAAATGAGCAACAGAAGGGCACCATATGTCATTGCAGCTCACAGAAATCGCATACTATATACATCACCCATCATAGCTGTTTGGAACTATGGACAGGAAGACACTTATTGGCAGAAGATTATCAGTACTGTTTTGATCAATTTAAAAGATCTGTGGAAGTTTTCCTAAAAGCATCATTGATTTTCCAGATTCAGTCAGTTTAAGATTATTTAAATCTGCCCTACAACTAGGCAAGGTGTTTCTTCCTTCCTCTGTGCCATGCACTGACACATTTCTCCCCTGACACATCCAAAGCTGTGCATTCCTACTCTTCTCCTGACGCTAGCGCTAATTTTTTTATTTTTTTTTTTCTGAAGGCTAGTATTTAACTGAGAGCAGTCTCTGATCTGGCTGGCTGTAAGGCTTGGTATCAGGGAAGCAACAGAAACAAGGCAGGGTCAGGTCCACACAAAGCAGGCAAGAGCTGCCCTTTTCAGTAGCAGGTAAATTTAGGTTGACTTTAAACTGACTATGAAACTCTTGTCATTAGTATCTTTGGTTCTAGTGCTTATTTAACAATTGCATTCAGTCCTCTAATATATTCTGTAAACATCTCCATAGCAAGTGGTGATGTCATTTTACAAAGAAATAGGGATGCAGGTGAAGGTTACATAACCAGGGGCCACATGCTATTTGAAAGCAAATGTCTCTGCACGGGAACACATTATTTGAAATCAAAAATTACTAAAGAGTGTAAAGAGAACAAAAAGAGTAGTAGTGATAAAACTAGCCTTAGCATGCCATGTCTGAGTTTTTTAAAAGTGTAGACTAAAATACAGGTTTCTCTGCCTTCATAATTAGATGTATTAAAAGACTTAATCTTTTAAAGTGCTAAGTGTCCCATCACTCCTGTGAATAAATGATATGTTAGAACTAAAGGAACATTGTCCATTTTCTGATGAAATAGCAGCACTGGTTGTTCAGGGCATGGTCACAGACCAGACAGTTAAGATTTCTCAGTATCTTGGTAAGTTGCAATTGTCTCAGCTGCAAAGCAAAATTGAAGTGTTATGTTCAGAAGCATTGTGGGTTTAATGGAAAGTAAGACTTTTAGTTAATATTTTTTGTATAAAAACATAGGTGGAAAAGGAGACAACAGAGGATGCTGTGTTACATGATTGCTGTCCCGGCTCTGCTTAGTCACAGAGCTGATTTGATGAAGCTACTTTGTGCAAAAATGCACCAGTCAGGAAAGAAAATTAGTACGTTCAAATGCAAGATGGAAGCTGTTTCTTTGGGTGAAAAATCTAGATGCTTGATGCTGGTTCAGCTTACACTTAGTGTGACAGCTTCAGCTGTGCTTAGTGCTGTACCTGTGTGTTACAGTATGATGACTGCTGAGCACCTCTGGAACGCATTTTGGAGGAACATATGTGTAGCATCAAAACGAGGTGACTCATTGATGTGACATTACGTGCAAACACAGGAAACCTATTATAAAACACTCTGTTCTCCTTTCCTGTCTGGTAGATATATAGGCTTGTCATATATGAGTGTGTATATATATTTCTTTTCCATTCCAGTACTCGTGAGAGCCTGGCATCCAACACTTCAAGTATTGTTGAAAGCAACAGACGTCAGAACCCCGCTCTGAGCCCTGCACATGGAGGTGCAGGCCCAACGTTCAACTTCCGAGCCACTGCAGACCCACCCACAAGTGAAGCTGAGAAACTGCAGAAACCTGCTAACTGCCTGCAAGCTTCTGTCACTAGTGTCTGATAGTCATCCTGCCTCAGATCGTCTGTCTCGTCCTATACAGCAAAGTTTACGACACTGGGACTGATGTTTACATCTTTGGGGAAAAATAAAACAAACATCTCAACCACAGTTTTAGTGTTTACTTAAACTGTGCTGCTATGTAGACTAGGGGCAACAAAGAAATCTTTATTTCGAGGTATTGCTTTTCACATTTGCGGCTCCGTAGCAACAGAATAGCAGTAGGGATAATATGTACACTTTTTGCTTCACTTAATTGTAACTGAGCACATATATGAAAGTCTAGACACTGTAAGTGTAATCTGCATTTTCAATGTCCATGCAGTTGCCAAGTTCATTTAAAAAAATGCCACAGATGTGTGATGCCCCTGGTCAGAAGCTAAACTCTGCTGCAGAGTTGATAGTTTTTTACTTCAAAAACTGAGCCACTGCTGAAAGTAACCAGCCAGGATCACCATGAGGAAAAACAATGCCAAACATGACAAGTGATGACCTCAGCTCTGTCTGTGAATTATTAATACTAATCAGTCATTTTCACTGTGCATTTTTGTGACACAATTTTACAAATACCTGTTTAAGCGAGTAAAGGGAGGTTTGGGTTTTGTTTTGATTTGCTTTTTGCTAAGTATGGAGGGTGGGATGGGAGGTGGCTGCTTCTTTCGTTTCAAAAGTATGAGAGATGTTTACTTAATGAGACTTGCTACCTGACCTTCCATAGTCATCAGTGAGGAGGTGGGCCTTTGCGTAGGGGGGGGGAGTGGGGAGGGAAGGGAAAGATATAACTGTCATGGAGCCACAGTGTGGAGTGACACAAAATATATCAAGTGTCTTCAGAATAATTCACATATTTTCAAAAGATAATCTAATCCTTGTGTCACTTCTGGTATTGCAACTTGCCATTAATATAAGAATCAGGATAACTAATTTCTTGGAACAAAAATATCCTTTATGATATAAATGACAAGTATGGCCTGAAGAATTGATTTCTTTCTAGTGGAAGGACATAAATCTATTTTATGTAGCTTATTAAATAGAGTGCCTAAATTAGGCTATTAAAAATAGCATACAGTGTAGTGATTATCAGAGAACAAAATTTAGAGAATTATAAACTTCTGGCCTTTTTATTCAGTGGATGTTATTTGCAATTTAGCATTTTATGGACATGTCTGGTTTCTAGAAATTAAATGTGTCCACTTGGTTTGCAGTAGAAATCTAAGTCCTGTAGGCACAGTACATCCTAATTGCTCTCCCTAGACTGTTACTCCAACGTAATTAGTACCATTCTAATTACTGCAGAGTAAATTCTACAGATAGTTAAACTCCAAGAGTAATTTTTAGGTATAGGGTCACATTCTGCTCTGTTACTCATGCAACCTGGTAGTGCAACGAACTGACTTTTTTATCAGAACAGACAAACTGGTGAAAGAATAACAAAGATACTAAAATGTGCATCAGCCAAAATTGTTTCATATAAAAGGGATGTTTACCCTATCTAGCTCTTGTAGAACACGAGTGTGAAACCCAACTGTACATATTAAAATCCAGTATTTTCATCAGGTTCTGGTGACGTGTATTACTCTGTATACAAAGTCATTTGAGCTTCACTTATGTTCTCTATTGTCATCAGAAGTCTTTACTGAAGATTCAGCCTTATGTTACACCGTTGGATATAGTTCATTTACTTATAAAACAACTCTCTAACTCTGGACACAATCAGTTTCCAGTTCTGTCAAGAACACCCAGTCAATGCACAGGTCTGTTTTCATTGATTTCAGTGTATAATTTCCATTTCATAGGAGCAATAAGACCTTTCAGTGCACATAAAGGAAATTATTGTGCTTTTGGTTGGTTATCAAAGTCACTTGGCCTTTAGCCTTCTGCCTTATCATACCTTCCAAGATGTGCTCTAATTACCATATAATGCTTTGCATGACGCATCTTATTATTCAGTCTGTAACTCCAGCCGTACTTATTCCATGCAGACTGTAGAGTCAGAATTTTTGTGGGGAATTGTCATATACTATGCAGTGGCTGACTGTGATTTTGTTTCTGAGGTGAGCTCTGACATCAGTAGTATGTATCAAATCAGTAAATAAAAATGTCGAACCGACAAAATTTACAGTGATGATCTGAAGTACTAACAGCAGTATTAAAATGTGAAGAGCAAAAAACAGATTTCACCTTTGGAGAAATAATTGTTTGTCATAAGCTAATCAGAATTTATGCAGGCAGCTGGTTGTACAGAAGACATCATTCCAACAAAATGCGATAGTACATACCTATGAACTGTATAGTATGTTATTTCCTAAAGTTCCCAGAGACCAGCAAACAACATAAATGTCATATTAATGTTGACATGGCATTGTACCAATATTAATGTGACTCTTGAAATATGGAATGTAAACAGAAGTTTCAAATAGAAACGTTCTAATCTTGATTTATTTTTTTTTCCTTTTAAAATCAACAATGGAATATAAGGAAATTCCATCTTGAGGTTCTTGTAACAAAACCACGAGAGTGGAGCTTGAGTGCTTTATGTCGCCCTAATCCTTTGATGAAATCATAGCCTTGTATTATGTGGTTGCTTATCTATCATTCTTCTAATGTATCAATTTAAAGGTTTACAGAGTTAGATTAGGTTGAATCTGTATTGTGTTCAACTGTAAAGGGTCAACACAAATCTGTCGGCATTTTGCACACTTAATATGTATTATTATAATACAACATGTTACTTTTGTGGTAATTTTTTTTACACATATAACTACCTCCATGAATTTGATGAGATGCAGCAACATGAAAAGTGTATTGTACAGAGCAAGGTTAAAAACTTTGAAGCATTAGGTCATGGCGTTCTCTTGTGTGTCAATGCTTGCATATGAAGTCATCATGTTTCCATTGCCACGATTTCCTTCTACAGTGTTAAAAAGATGGCTTTCAGATGAGTCACTTAAAGACTTTGACAAGGCTGCATAATTGGGATAGAAGTGAAAGGGAGGCTGAAACCTTCCATCCTCTCCCCAGTTACTGCTAAATTTCTGCCTGGTAGAACTTGAAAATGTATTTGTAATTTAGAAAATTAGAAACATCTACAGTCTGTGAAATATGATTGACAGTTTGGGGTTTAACAGAAGACACTGTGGGTATTTTCTTGGCAGCCTTCAGATACTTTGGGCCCTACTCTGCCTCCATCTTTGTCAACATTAGTACGTTATGGTTTCTCTGAACTGGCAAGGGTGTTAAAACAGCTCTTCCTTTAATGATATGCACTCTAGTCTCTAGATTGTGTGCATCTAAAACATTTGCTCCTATAGAAATTACCAAGAGCCTTTAATTGACTTTGCTGGGAGCAGTATGAGGGTCCCTACTCAAGGTATGTGCCTGTTGTTCGAAGAACATGGGCAAGTTTCCAAGAAGAATTAAGCTGACTTGGAAAAGTAGCCAGCTGCAACAAGCCACCTTTCAAGAGGGAAGAAAGAAAGATTTTTCCAAAAACCAAAGGAAGAAAGTGGCAGTTGAACCTAAGCAGATCACATTTATATACAAATCCCGATTTATGAACACTTTTCAGCAAACCTAGTACCATTATCCCGGTGCAAATTAATATACAATCATCAATTGAGCTAATTTTGCCATTTTAAGTATTTCAGTTAAAAATTAGAAGAAGTCATTATCCATTTGGCTCCATGCACCACTGTAAAATGACTGTTATATGCGAAACAACGTTCACTCAACTTTGAAAAGTAAAAATGTATTGGAAAACAAACATTTTAATGAAAACCGTGGCCTAAGTGTTTGCCAGCAGTAGTCATTTTTAGAAAAGAGAACAAGCAAACCAGTATCCAGAGGCCATCATAAACACAGATAATACTTTGCACTTAAATCACACCTTTTTGCCTGAGGGCCTCGAAGCACTTGACATGGTACCAGCTAACCCTTGTGAGCCTGTGAAGTAGGCAGAGTTCACTGACCCTGCATTTTGTCCAGGCCCATTGGAAAAAAGTTAAGGCTAAGAGTCTGCAGACTAATTTATTAACTGGTTGCTTTCTTAAAGTTACTGGAGTAAGTTTAATAGTTAACCAAAGTGTTCCATGTTTATACTCCGAAATCATTCTTTTGATGCATTCACTTTGTTTAAGAGAGAAACTGCTTTACAGCCCTGCAGACACTCTTGGATTAGCAGTGCCAAAACCAAGTTTTCAGTCATACAAGTACTGCCAGTAGTGGTTTTAGAAACAGTTATGTTAATTAGAAATCTGTTTTTCAAATACATTTTGCAGTGCTTTTCCCAACACAATTGTTCAAATTGTTGTGCTGAGAAAGCAAATAGCACTCCTAATCTGTCCTACCCACAGTTTACAATTCTCTTTCCTCTTCTGAAGAAAACTGTACAGTATTAGAGAGAAAAGTTCTATTTTTTACAAAATTCTTTTAAAAAAAAAAGGTATATATCTAAAATGTTCCCCCCAGCATAAGTAAAGTGCATCGTTCCTGCATGAGAGGCATGCAGTGGACCCACCAAAAGCCAAGCTGGTGCTAGAAGAAAACGGGACTATCACACTTTATAGCGGCGCTCTAAATGTTAGTTTCAGATATGTGAGTGTAAATCTGGCTTAACTCCCCTGATCTCCCGCGGATCTGAGAGAGATGGGAATGGGTCGTTAACTCCATTGAAGCTCAGTTCTGAGCTGAGGGTTTCCGTGTTCCTCCCCCCGCCCCAAGACACTAAATGCAGAGAAGGAGCAGAAGGCCACGCACACGCACCTGGCTCTGGAAAGGCAGCCTGGGCTGAATCCCTGCTGAAACGCACAGCCACCCAGCCGGGATGCCGTGACAGCCGCCACGTGTTCCCCACCTCGGAAGGGTGATTTCCCATGTGGTGCACTGCCCTCGAGTTGTATAGCGGTTAGAGCCACCCGAAGGATACCCACCCAGAAGTATGAAAGGGCCCTTGGAGTAATTGGCACAGATGTTACTTTTATATGTGGAGGAGATTTAAGTTTAAAGGGATCATAATTCTGCAGGTAATTTTCTGTGAGTGACTGAATGTGGCTGTTGCATTAGGTTTAAATGAGTTAATAAATGCAAGTGGGACTTACTGTATGTTAGAAGGGAGTTTTGCAGCCAAGACTGCCTTGTATAAATGTGTTTGCACTGAAAAAAAAAATTTAAAAAATTACTTGGTCTCTGGTTGCTGTAAAGGTCATCCAAGATGGATGTTCTGTTTATATTGTATAGTATTTCATATGAAATAATTGCAGTTCATGAAATGTCTTCCCTAACGTTACTGATTTATAACAGCACATTTGTAACATGGTTTTTATTGTGTCAGTGTACCATATTGTAAATGATGATTACTTGTCATGCTTAGTATAATAATTTAAAGGAAAAAAAGGACAGGGATTTTTGTAAGTCTATATTTGAAAGTCCCTCCATATGGTAATATTGTGTTCATGTTGTTTATGTAGTGTTGTGTGAAATATCCATTTTGGATTGTGTTACTTTTTAAGATATTAAATAACATTTGGTTATATGTTCTAAGTGGATTCTTTGCACTCATCGGTGTTTCTAGGATATACTTACATTTCATTTAGAGAATATACTTACATTTCCATTTAATATGCTGTTTCGCTCCTTCACTTAGAAACCTTGCACAACAAACCAGAAATCTCAGAAAACGAAGGGACATAACAACTTGCTGTGTTCTCCTACACTTTATAAAAGCTCTCTGGGCCATTAAATAAGAGTGCAAGGGAGAAAATTCATCAATTTGAAACATACTGGTTTGGACTGGACATGAAGGTGACAGGTGCGGGGGGAGTGGGATCTCCACTGAATGCATGAGTGCACAGTTGAGATGCACCCGAGCTCCAGGAAATGAGAAGTCCATTGCTGCTAAGAGCAACAGGTGTCAAGTCCCTCTTTTCCTCTCCTCTCCATCCTCATGAGCCAAAAGAGGACCTGGTGCATACAGCCAAGAGAAAGGGCTCTAACAAGGAGATTTTTTCACATTATTCAAAAAAAGCTGATGGGAAAGGCCCAAGTGGGCATTGTAACATGCAGGTGCCATTTTTCCACTCTCTGTCACCACCTGAAAAAAGGTTTTGAGGAGGTTTAGGGTTCAGGAGATTTACCAGAGTTGTGCCACAAGAACTGCTGTTTGCCAAGGTCAGCTATGAGTATTTACAACATTTACAAGATAAACAAAGGAGCATCTGTTGTAAGAAGGTGCTGTCATAAGCACCTTGTCTTGTCACCTGCCAGTGGCACATACTACTACCATGCTGTCTGTGGTCTTTGCTGGTTCCCCTTCATCCATCTGCTTCCTTTGTAATCCATCTCCATGAAATTGTGCATTTTGAATTACAAGGGGGAAAAAAGTCAAAGCCAGGCAGGGTTTGGCTAGGGCTTTATGCTAGCAGTGTCCTAGTGCCTTGCACAGGCAAAGTCAGTTTTGCATGTTGGTCAGAATTAGACTTTCACAGCCTTTTCAGTATAGCTGGAGAAGTTTGCAAGCCCTATTTCCCCCTCACAGAGAGCTTTGGTTTTGTTTCTGTCCTTACAGTGCTCTTGTATTAGGCTGATCAAAAAGTATGATTGTCCAAAGTCACCTCACTTTTCATCACACTTTGCGCTTTAAAACTTTTTTGGAAGGCTGGCTTGAATTCTCTTTATGCCTGCTCTGCTGGCAGGTAAACTGAAGATCTTCAGCAAATGACATCTTTTTGGTGAAACATGGCCTATAACATTTGGAAAATGTCTAGGGCTGTTGCTTGGCAGAAGTACTCTCTTGGTTTTAGATCATGCCTTTCTGCTGATAACACTGAGTAAATTTCCATCCCTCTGTATCTACTCTATAAGATAACATTTTTGAAAGATCTCTCCAGTTTTTTCTTCCATCAGCCTCTCAACTGTTTCTTTAGTTGTTTTTCTCACAACTTATTTTCTATAATGTCCTTCTTCCAATGAATCCCTTTGTCTTCTGGTCCTTTTTGACATTTATTCTCCTTCAGGTTGGGTTTTTTTTTTTACATGTTACTTGAGATGAGATGCTCTCTGCCCCTTTTCTCATTCTCCCCTCTCAAAATGTCATCCTAATTCTATAGTATCTTTTCCCACTTTTCTAATACTTACCCTTTTTCACTGTGCCTGCTCATCAGAAGGACCTCAGAGAAAAAAAGGTGCTCAGCTGCTTCAGGATAGGTGCTCCTGTCAGCACTTCCCTTCAAGCCATGCTGTTGCAGGCTTTCAATTTTAAAAAAGTTTGGGAATGTAAATATGCCCCCATTTTTTGTCCTTTTGTGTTTTCTTCCTACTTTTTGACTGCTGCTTCTGCTTTTTTGACTATGTCTGTGCTTTGAGGGCTCAAAGAGGAGACCCATAACCCTAAACAGCACTGGAACAACAGTCACATTTGTCTTCCTCAGGGCACCAAGCAAGGCCCCAGATAAATGCTTAGGAAAGTGATTCCTCCAGCTGTGCTTCACAGAACAGCTGTGAGGAAAATGGCCTCTACTTAACCAGCCTTTCCTAAACTGCAGGGAGGTAGCCCACAGCTCTGACACTTCAGTTGACTATAGCTGATATTTGAAGGGAGAAGGGTTTTGTAGCAGTACAAGATGCTGGGACTTCGATAGCTGCCTGTGTTTTTGTGTGGAGATGGCTAAGCTTGCATTTATAAGCAAATTCCTTCTGTGCCTGTAGGTCCTCATGTTTAGCAAAGTATTTTTAGCACAGCTGTCACAGAAGTGATGAATAGGGACTGGGAATGGGAAATCCCAAGTACTTTTTTTTAGCATCCGTTGTTTTTAGTCTTTCATCCTAATAAGCACATAAAACCTAACCCTGTTCTGCCAGCTATGTGAAAATAAGCAAACAGTAAATGAATCTACCAGCATGTTTGTGCGTACACTGAGATAGTTATGTACTCTGCCTGATTGCTTGATTGCTTAAGGAAACTCGAACCCTTTTGTTTTGAGTTCTCTCCATTTTTCTCCTCTTGTCCCTCTGCTTGACGCTGGTAAGATTAACTAGTAAGTGCTAAAGAGGGTCAATCCTGCAGGAAGCTGCAAAAGTAGCAGCTTCCAATGTGTTCAGTAGTGCGCTGGTACCGAGAGGACAAGCAGGAGCCAGGTCTCTCCCATGGATGTAGGCTTTTCCTCATGCGGCAGTTAAAAGGTACACCAGCACTGGCACTTCAGCTCCAAGCAGGACTGTGCTCCAGCAAGGGCTGTCCTGATTGCCCGTGCTCACTGTGCTGCAGTTCCAATTGCAGTCAGCAGTCTCGGCACAGAGGGGCTGCAGGACTTGCTGATAAAACTTCTGTGCCAGAGGATGCACATCAGGAGCACAGCCACAGCACTGCAGCCCTTTTGGGTCTTACTACCTCGGTTTTTGGAAAATGAGGACCTAGGTAATTAACTTTACAGGGCAGCTTGTTGCATCAGAGGAGTTTGAATGCAAACCCCATCCCATGACCCACGTACATGGAAGCTGCCTTCACTATGTCTCCACCATGCACATCACTACGCATATACCACTGGGCACTGACTGCCAGGAGCAGCCATCAAGCTTGCAAACTTGATGACTCAGGAGTGCAGACCTCTAGGCCAGGTGAGTTAGGATTGTGGGTGGTGACTGGGACAAGGACAGCAGAGAGGGGCACTTGTCTTTCTGGCTATGGCAGGTGAATGCTGCCCCTGCCTCCACAGCGAGCCCCCTCTTCCCTCAGCACTGCTGTTCCTTGCAGCCCAGTAGCCAGTAGCCTTGAACCAAATCCCCAGTCTCAGCTTCCTGTTGAGCTGTGGGGCTCCAGCCCCTTGCTGCTGTTCACCCCAGCATGGGGAGGCCATGGTGGGGGAGAGGCTCTTCTCTGTCCAGTTTCGTGCGTGCCTCTGGCTGAGGCCCAAAATGAACATGTCAGAGAAGTGCTATTTAGCATCCAGCTGCAGCAATTTAACATGATTCTGTGGGACACAAGCTAGTGATGACTTTCAGATACTTGTAACTGGTCCAGCTGTAACCGTCATCTAAGGCATGACCCTGGCAGAGCTTCTCAGTAAAAGAGCAACCACCTTTTTTTTCTCCTTTTTTTTTTTTTAACCTAGACAATGCAGTATATTTTTTTCTTTTCTTCTGAAGGAGTGCTGAGACTTCCCAGGGAACTTTGGGTTGAGGCAGAGGTCAAATGAAATCTGTGGCAGAAGCATCACAGGAGGCACCATGAGGAGGAGAGACGCAGAAGCCACTTTGTCCATCATGGTGCAAACACACAAGGCCACCCTGGTGACCAGCCCCAAGGAACAGAGGTGCTAGACTCCAATTGGAACACTTGTCCTTGCCCCGTAGAGGAGAAGGACACATCCTCCAAAGTAGAACAGGAAACCCAAAAAGCTCCTCAGCTCTGTTGTTGTTCTGCTGTCCCTTAGCTCCTGCATCTGGCAGGCTGACAGCTCCATGGGAGCCCTTCCTGGCAGCATGTGCTGTACTAGTTTCCCATCTTCTCCTCCCTACTTATTTCTGAAGAAAGTAATTTTATCTTCTAACCATAGTGTTTTATTTGTAAGTACTCACCAGTGGACCCTAGAGATTTATTATTAATTCATGATGAAGAAACTCAAGAGTCCCCAGACCTAAGACAGACAATGTATTTATTGTTCCTCCTTAAAGATAGACGCTTTGCCTTTGCGGTTTTATTATTATCTATAATCCAGTATGGAGAGACAGTATCTCTCATGCTTTGCTGTTAGACAGCAGATAACAGTTTCACCAAATCACAGTTCATATAAGAAATAAAAAAGTGAGAAATCCACTTATTTTTTGCAGACAGAAATAAGAAAATAAAACCACAGAAAACTAAAACCTTACAGAATGACAAACAGCTTTGAAAAACTTTCATTGAATTTAAAACATTCGCCTGGACATGAGCAAACTTTCCTTGATCCAGAAACTTGTAAAAGAGTATTACCTTAAAATATTTAGACCACTGCAGATTTCTGAACTGTTTGTCTTTATGAAAATTAGTTTCTTGGGATGTTGCTGAGGACAAAGTTGCCTTTTTTGGCACTGTTAGTGTGGGTTAGTAGTGGGTCATCAGGTCCAGTCAGTTGAAACCACCAGCTTCAGTCTCAAGGCAGAGCAAAGCAACTGAGTTAGTCCCACATCAGGCTAAAAACAAAGACTATTGGCATTTATTTTTTTGGTTAAAAAAAAAGAAGACTGTAATCTCTGGACTATACAAACATGTAGTGTGTGAATTCTGTGTCTCATGACTGCTGCCTTGTGCCATGGATAATGCAGTCAGTGGTGCAACCCTGGCATGGGTCTCCACGAACATACTGGTCAGCAGGCAACCATCTTCTGCCCAGATTTTCTCCAAACTGCTATCTTTGCAATTCGAGGGGAAGAGAAGGAGGGTGGATACCTTTCATCAGAATGAGAAAAAGGGAATTGGAGTATAAGGGCTTAAAAACTCAAGAGATTTCACCAAAAAAAAGAGGAAAACGCAAAGGCAGAGGAATGTGAGGCTGCACTTCAGTAGC